TCGCCCCTTGGCCCGTCGCGCCCCTTAGGCCCCGGCCCGTTGGCCCGTCGCGCCCCTTAGGCCCCGGCCCCTGGGCCCGTCGCGCCCCTTAGGCCCTGGCCCCTTGGCCCGTCGCGCCCCTTAGGCCCCAGCCCCTTAGGCCCGTCGCTGTTTCTACGTACCGACACCTCGCTGCCGCCGTTCTACGTCCTCGTCTACGTCGACGACCTCGTCTTTGCCACTGCTGGCACTGAGGCACTGACCCTTGTGAAGTCGGAGCTGCAGAAGAGACACACCTGCACTGACCTGGGTGAACTGCACAGCTATCTTGGCTTGCAGATCACCCGGGACAGAGCACGGCGCACCATCACCCTGACTCAGTCACACATGGTGCACCAGGCCCTTCAGCGCTTCGGCTTCCAGTTCTCCTCCCCACAGCCCACTTCTCTGTCTACTAGCCACTCGCTCTCAGCTCCACCTTCGGACGAGTCCGTAGAGCCGAGTGGTCCGTACCCAGAGCTTGTGGGTTGCCTCATGTACCTGATGACGTGCACACGACCTGACCTCGTGTACCCTCTCAGCCTTCTGGCTCGTTACGTGGCTCCCGGTAGGCACCGAAAGGTGCACTGAGATGCAGCGAAGAGGGTACTGCGTTACTTGTGCAGTAGATCGCGCATGGGGCTCGTGCTTGGAGGACGGGGTCCAGTTGTCCTCACCGGTCACGCAGACGCTTCTTGGGTTGACGACTCAGCTACGCAGCGGTCGTCACAGGGTTACACCTTCAGCCTTGGCTCTAGCTCTGTTTCCTGGCGGTCTACCCGCTCGTCTTCGGTTCTCAGCTCCAGTTGTGAGGCTGAGATCTACGCCGGGGCCATGGCTGCACAGGAGCTATGCTGGCTTACCTACCTGCTGACTGGCTTGGGAGAGCAGCCTCGTTCGCCTCCAGTTCTGTACGTAGACAACAAGGCCATGATTGCCTTGTGTCAGGAGCACAGACTGGAGCACAGATAGAAGCACATCGCTCTGCGATACTTTCTTGCTCGAGAGTTGCAGCAGCGTGGCCAGCTTCGTCTTGCGTACGTGGCCACTAGGGCCAACACTGCTGATATATTCCCCAAGGCACTTCCGCCTAGTGATCATCAGCGCTTCTCTACTGTGTTAGGTCTTGTGCCTAGTTTGCCTCACTTGCTTACTGCTTGACTCTGCTTGTACTGTGATCTATATATATACCTGCATGCTTGCACTTGCTAGGATATGATCACTGTATTGTTTGTTCTCTTTATATCACTCTGCATGTGAACTGGCCTTGTGGCCCTTTGCTTGTGCTCGGACTGTGTGGTGACTTTGTGATCTATCCTGAGCTTGTTTTGCTTTCTTGATTGGTCTTGTGACCACTTGTTCTCCCCCACTTTGCCTATGGGGGTGTGTCAAAACATTATAGCTTGTACATTTGTGTAGGCTATAGTGGGGTAGCCCATAAAGGGTACAACCCAATTAGGGTTAGTATCTGTACCCAACTGTTTCATAGTTCATTCATTCACGTTCATTACTTCCAACAGGATAGGCCTCAGCGACACGTGGTGCCGTTTCGACGTACATTTTGTTGCGAATATGTTTGTAGGCTTTTATTATTACCGTAATGACCCGGACATACCACCCGCCGAAATTGTAGACCCCCCGGGTGGCTTGTGCGGGGTGGGTGTTATAGTTGACCCCGTTTGTACTATACCCCCCCTTTTGGGGTGGTTTTTTTATAACACCCCCTTTTTTACACAGAATGCCTTATTTTAGGTGTTAACGAGTATGTGCAATGACGGGGGGACATCGCGACGATCACTTTTTGCACGAAATTACATGGTAATTTCGAAAGTATCTGCTGGGGTCACCTCCGTCCCACTTTTTCACTGCTACCAAGTGGTAGTTCTTTCGCTATCAAGTGGCCAAAGAGGTGCCACCTCGCAACTTCAAGGAGGAGTCAATGTTGTCGTCGAAATTGACAATCTCGCTTCCAACTGTGATGCTAAACCAACCTTGAAAACACCCAAGCTGCCTATTTATAGAAACCCTTACACTAAAAAAATGTCATATATATGCACCCGGGTGGTATGTAGCTTTTTCCTATGAGAAGACCCCCCCCCATTTTTTTGCTGTATTTAAAGTAAGACCCTAGCGTGTTATGTCCGGGTGATTACGGTAAGTGCACTGTTCGAAGTGTGCTTACAGGGGCTCGCCATATCGAAGAGTTTGACCCTGGTTATGAGTTAACGGGGCGTAATCGTGCACAGCGGTTGTGACCCACATGGCAGTTCAAGATTCGAGATTCTGCAGGAGGCAGCGTGAACAGTACGCGAAACAACCCTGCTTGGCGCGGCAGAATACCGCGCCCTTGCCGAAGCTGAACAGTCGTGCCAGCGCGACTGTAACTGGGCAACTGAAACGTTACAGGGCAACTGTCATACAGTTGCGCCTTGGTAACTGCCTGCCTGCTATGTTTCCTATATAACTAAATGTATTGCATTGTTCCTACTACACAATTATCATCCTTGTGTCCGGCCTACCCTCGGCCGCTGCTTTGGCACCAAGTTACAAGCCAGGAGAGCTACCTCTAAGTGACCATAGCCCCACCGCAAGGACGTTGTTAATTCCTAGAGTATTTCCGCTACTATAGCGACCTCTTAATTTCATTACATTTAATATTTTAAACAAGCTTTATTTTGATCATTCAAACATTTGCTATAATGCAAGCATGCCAGAAAAAGTTTGGTGCCATTAGCACAATCTGGTAGAAAGTTGTGCCTTTTCAAACAGTTGGGCAGGGGAAACTGTGCAAGGATAGGTCTGTGCGACACGGGGTGTCGTTTCGACATCCATTTAATATTTTAAACAATGTTTTTTTTTACCATTCAAACATTTGCTATGCTGCAAGCATGCCAGACAAAGTTTGGTGACATTCGCACAATCAGGTAGAAAGTGTCAAAATGTTATAGTGCTTACATTTGTGTAGGCTATAGTGGGGTAGCCCATAAGGGATAAAACCCAATTAGGGTTAGTACTTGTACCCAACTCTTTCATATTTCATTCATTATTTTCCGTTATTTTGACATGGTTTCAGAGCAGGTCCTCCGCTAGGACCGTTTTTTTTTTTGCCCACCACAGCGCTGCCCCACTAGCCGCCCCTAGCGACCCTCGTGCCGCACCTACTGCCCCTAGCGCCGCCCTCGTGGGGCCTACCTGTCGCCCCTAGGCCCCGGCCTGTCGCCCGTCGCCGGTAAGCCCGTCGCCCCTGGGCCCGTCGCCCCTAGGCCTGTCGCCCCGGCCCGTCGACTGTAGGCCCGTCGCCCCTAGGCCCCGGCCCGTCGCCCCTAGGCCTGTCGCCACGGCCCGTCGCCCCTAGGCCCCGTCGCCCCGGCCCGTTGCCCCCCCCCCCCCCCCCCCCCCCCTCCCCCCCCCTAGGCCCGTCGCCCCTAGGCCCGCCGCCCCAGCCCGTCGCCCCTAGGCCAGTAGCCCCAGCTCGTCGCCAGTCGCCCCTAGGACCCCGGCCCGACGCCCGTCGCTCCTAGGCCCGTCGCCCCAACCCCGGCCTGTCGCCCGTCGCCCTGAGGCCCCGGCCCCGGCCCGTCGCCCCTAACCTAGGCCCGTCGCCCCCCTAGGCCCCGGCCTGTCGCCCCTAGCCCCGACTCGCGCCCATCCCCCCTAGGCCCTGACCCGTTGCCCCTAGCCCCGACTCGCGCCCGTCGCCCCTAGGCCCCGGCGAGCCCGTCGACCCCAGGCCCCGCGCGCCGCCTCTTGCGGCCCACCCCTTCGCCTCTGCAGCCCGCAGGCCGCCCTTGCAGCCCCGCGCGCCACCCCTGGCGCCCCCCTAGCCACCCCCCTAGCCGCCCCTGCTGCCCTGCTAGCCGCCCCTTGAGGCCCTCTCGCAGCCGCTGCTGTCCTGCTTGCCGGACCTCTCTGCTGCCCGCCCTGCGTGCTGCGCCGCTGTGGCTTCCCTCCGCATTCTGACGTTCGATCATGAGGGCCGCCCGATCCGGTTTGACACGTGGCTTGACGACCTGCAGCTGTACCTACTGAGCGACTTTAGGGATGGTGTTTTGTTGTTTGATCACACGTCTGGTGCTGCTCCCGCCGCTCCCGCCACAGCTGACAGTGCGACTCGCTCACAGTGGCTTACTCGTGACGCTGCTGCTTGCTTAGCCATTCGCAACCACCTGCCGTTAGCCGAATGCGCTCACTTCGAACAGCACAGGACAGCACAGGCACTGTACGACGCTGTAGTCGCCCGTTACTCCTCGCCTGCCACTGCTGCTCTAGGCTGTCTTCTTCTGCCCTACCTGTTTCCCAAGCTGTCCGCCTTTGCCACAGTAGAGGACCTGGTTTGCCACCTTCGCACTAGCGATGGTCGCTACCGCACTGCCCTCCCAGCAGAGTTCCTTGAGAGGAACCCGCCCCCGATGTACATCACTCTCTACTTTATAGTCACCCGCCTCTCTGACTCTCTTCGCGCTGTCAGGGACCATTTTTTCGCACTTGACCCCACAGACCTCACTGTTGACCTACTCGAGCAGCACCTCCTTGCAGCTGAGACTAGTGTAGTCGCTGTAGGTGCTGGTCGTGGCACTCCTCGCACGTCCTTCTTTGAGGGGTGTTCCCCCTCCCCCTTGCTCCCTCATACGCCTCTGCTGCTGCTATTGACGTCCTTGGTGCTGAGGATGTCGGGGTTGCTTCTGCTAGTGGGAAGCGCCGCAGCAGCAAGGGCAAGGGTGGCAGGGGTGGTGGTGGGGGCCGCAGTGGAGGTGGGGGAGGCAGTGGAAACACATGCGTGTAGAACCACAAATTATAATTGTCATACAAAAGAAGAAAAAAAATCCTGATCTTCACGAAATGTGGAGAAAAGTCAGCGACAGGGTGAAAACAGAAGCACCATGCTCACTACATTAATTCAGGCTTTTAAGGCACCAAAATATGAAAAGTTGTGACTGCAGTGCCATGCAGCAACAGCAAAGCCCTCCCTCCTCTCAAGTACCATGGCAAAAAACTTCGACAAGACATCACACCCTCTCACACCCTCTAACCCTCTTTCCCCTCTCTCCCCCTCCCCCCTTCACACTTTCTGCCAACCTCCCCCATTCCTCCCAATTCTCCTCTCTCTACCAACAGCTTCCCACCCTTCTCTGCCAGATTCCCCCTTAATCACCCAACACCGCACCTTTCCTGACGACCTTCTCCCCCTATCCCTGCCCTTCTCCCCTCTCTGCCAGCCTTCTCTCCCTCGCCCTTGCCTTTCCTCCTCTCAGCCAACCTTCTCACTCCTCTCTGCCCTTCGCCCCTCTTTTCACCAAACTCCAACCCCCCTCTCCTTCTCTGCCATACTTACCCCTTTTTCTCAGCCAAACACCTCCTCCTCTCTGCCAACCTTCTCACCCCCTCTCTGTCAATATCATCCCCTCCCCCCACTGCTCAACCAACCTTCTCGACTCTTCCCTAAGCTTCCACCTCCCTCTCTGCCAGCCTTCCCCCCTTCCCTCACTGCCAACCTTCCCTCTCCCTTTCCCAACCTTCCCCCCTCATCTCTGCCAACCTTCCCCCTTCCCTCTGTCATCCTCCCCCCTTCGTTTTGCCAGTCTTCCCCCATCGCTTTGCCATCCTTCCCCCCTCCCTTTGCCAACCTTTCCTTCACCCTCTCTCTGCCATCCTTTCCCCTCTTTTTTACCAACCTTCCCCCAACTCTTTGTCTACCCTCTCTCCCATTCCCTGCCAACAAACCCCCCGTCAACCTCTGCCAACCATTACCCCCCTCCCTGCCAACCTTCCTCTCCTCTCTCCCAACCTGTTTCCCTATTCCTCCCCAACACTCCCTCCATTCGAACCCACTTTCTGCCAACACTCTTCCCCTGTTTGCCAACCTTCCCTCTCTCTCTACCATCTTCCAACCCTCTATTTCCCAACCGTCCCCAACCTCTCTACCATGCTTACCCCCTCTCTCTGCCATACTTTCCCCTTCTCTTTGTCATCCTTCCGCCCTCGTTTTCCCACCGTCTCCCCCTCTTTCTGCCAACCCTCTCTCCCATTCCTTGCCAACCCCGCAGTCAACCTCTACCAACCATTACGCCCATCTCTGCAAACCTTCCTTTCCTCTCTCCCAACCTTCCCCCCTTTCTTCCTCAACTCCCTCCACTCATCACCTCTTTCCGCGAACACTCCTCCCCTCTCTGCGAACACTCCTCCCCTCTCTGCCAACACTCCTCCCCTCTCTGCCAACACTCCACCCCTCTCTGCAAACACTCCTCCCCTCTCTGCCAACACTCCTCCCCTCTCTGCGATCACTCCTCCCCTCTCTGCCAACACTCCTCCCCTCTCTGCCAACATTCCCTTTTTCTCTGACAACATTGCTCCTCTCTCTGCCCCACCCTCTCATTGCCAACCTTCCCCCCTCTAACTCCCAACCTCCCCCCTCACATTGCGAAACCTTCCCCCTCTAACTCCCAACCTCCCCCCCCTCTCTTTGCCATCCTTCCACACTCTCCCTAGTATCCTTCCCCCCTCTTTGCCAATCCCCCCCCTTTCTCTGCCCTCCCCGCCCGTTTCCCTGCCAACTTCTAGAATCCCTGCCAGCGGTCTCCCTCTCACCGCTGACCATTTGCCAACCTCCCCACTCGGTCAACCTTTCACCCACTCTCTACAAACCTTCTATCCAACCTTTCCACTTCTCTACCCCTCTCCCCTCTCTCTGCCACCTTCCCCCCCTTTCTCTGCCAACCTTCCCACACTCTACCAACGTCCCTTACTACGGGTTCAGTCCTTTCCAAGCTTTTCCCCGTCACTTTGCTGACGTTGCCCACCTCTCTTCCCACCTTATCCCCTCAACACGCATTATCTCCTTTCCCCACCTTATCCCCGCTACCTGCCTTATCTCCTCTGCCCACCTTAGTCCCCCTTCACAGTAAATCCCCTCTACCCACCTTATCCCCTCTCCCCACCTGATTCCCTCTCCCCATCTTATCCCCTCTCCCCACCTTATCCCCTCTCCCCACCTTATCCCCTCTCCCCACCTTATCCCCTCTCCCTGTCTTATCCCCTCTCAACACCTTATCCCCTCTCCCCACCTTATCCCCTCTCCCCATCTTATCCCCTCTCCCCACCTTATCCCCTCTCCCCACCTTATCCCCTCTCCCCACCTTATCCCCTCTCCCTGTCTTATCCCCTCTCAACACCTTATCCTCTCTCCCCACCTTCCCCACCTGAGTCCTTGCAGAGATTCCACCCCTCTCCCTGCCAACCTCGCTTTCCATCTCCCTGCCAACCTCGCTTTCCATCTCCCTGCCAACATCCTGACCCATATGTCAGAATGTATTTGCTGTCTAGCCTGCAGTGGGGTACTCTGTAGTGAGTACAACCCAACTTAGGGTTTGCTATTTGTACCCCAACTTTCTATAGTGAAACCTCTCATTCTTCCTTCTCGACTTTCCTCACCCAAAATTCTCTCGACACTCATGCCTAGAACCCAAGCCATGGTTCCTAAGTCAAGCTAGATTCTGACATGGTATTAAGAGCAATAATTTCTAGGACCTAACATCAATGGGCCTACCACCTAATGCCCTGCTAGCCTAGGCCCCGGCCCGTCGCCCCTTGGCGTCGCCCCTAGCCCCTAGGCTCGGCCCCTAGGCCCCGTCGCTCACGGCCCCTTGGCCCCATCGCCCGTACCTGTGCCCCTCGGCCCCGCTGGCCCCGTCGACTCCGTCGCCCCGCGCCCAGCCCAGTACCTCGCCCAGCGCCCGGCCCGTACCTAGCCCGCGCCCGGCCAAGTACCTAGCCCGCGCCCGGCCCGTACTTAGCCCGCGATCGGCCCGTACCTAGCCCGCGCTCGGCCCCGTTCCTAGCCCCGCGCCTGGCCCCGTACCTAGCCCGCGATCGACCCGTACCTAGCCTCGCGCCCGGCCTCCGTTCCGCGCCCAACGCCTGGCCCCGTCTGTCGCCCGCACCTGGCCCCGTACCTAGCCCGCGCCCGGCCCGTATCATGCCCGCGCCCGGCCCCGTACGTAGCCCGCGCCCCGGCCCCGTACCTGCCCAGCGCCCGGCCCCGTACCTGCCCAGCGCCCGGCCCCGTACCTGCCCAGCGCCCGGCCCCGTACCTGCCCAGCGCCCGGCCCCGTACCTGCCCAGCGCCCGGCCCCGTACCTGCCCAGCGCCCGGCCCCGTACCTGCCCAGCGCCAGGCCCCGTAACTGCCCAGCGCCCGGCCCCGTACCTGCCCAGCGCCCGGCCCCGTACCTGCCCAGCGCCAGGCCCTGTACCTGCCCAGCGCCCGGCCCCGTACCTGCCCAGCGCCCGGCCCCGTACCTGCCCAGCGCCAGGCCCCGTCCCTGCCCAGCGCCCGGCCCCGTACCTGCCCAGCGCCCGGCCCCGTACCTGCCCAGCGCCCGGCCCCGTACCAGCCCAGCGCCCGGCCCCGTACCTGCCCAGCGCCAGGCCCCGTCCCTAGCCCAGCGCCAGGCCCCGTACCTAGCCTGCGCCTGGCCAAGTACCTAGACCCGCACTTGGCCCCGTACCTAGCCCATGCCCATCCCAGTACCTAGCCTGCGCCCGGCCCCGTACCTAGCCTCGCGCCCGGCCCCGTTCCGCGCCCAACGCCCGGCCCCGTACCTGCCCAGCTCCCGGCCCCGTCCCTAGCCCAGCGCCCGGCCCCGTACCTAGCCGCGCCCCTCGGCCCAACTGGTCGCCCCTAACTATGGCCCCTCGCGACCTACAGCCCCTAGCCGCGGCCCCGGTGCCCTGTAGCATCTTGACGGGTAAGGGGGTGGCAAGAGGGGGTTCTTCCTGCCCGCGTGCCCTGCAGTCGCACGCGCAGCTCCGCCCCCGCCCCCCTCCCCCCCCTCCCCCCCCTCCATGGGGACGGGGGGGAGAGGGTGTGAGGGGGTGGCGGATGTGCCTCAGCAGCAGCAGCAGCTGCCGCCGCGCCTCCTCCTCTCTCTCTCCCTGCTGCACCTTGTGTTGGGAGAGGGGGGGAGCTTGGAAGTGTTATAGTCACAATAGGCTTGAATGTGCCTAAAACGAAAGATAGAGTGCACAGACGGATTTCTGCACAGCGGCTTCAAACGTTGATAGCGTTCTGCTCACAGCTTTAAACGAGTTGCTATAAATTGGATCTGGAGCGCCTTGATGTCGCCTACAATAGGCAATTTAAATCACACGATTTCAGCAAGTAATGAGGACGCAACGTTGGTTTGAACGAACGGCACTATGGCAGCCATTATAGACATAGAACACAAATTAGGAAGAGTTACGAGTTGGGAATGACTCCCAGCTTCTACAAACCCCAAGAGCCGAGGTACAGTGATGTGGAACAGTGCCACACTGTTCCCAACCACGAAGGGTCTCGATGCAAACCGTAGGGTTGCACCAACAAACTCCCCCTCGGATTGTTGGCCTTAGGATCTTGCTCTCTCGGTTCAGAGCCATCCCAGCCAGCTTGCTTCTTGCTCTCCCAAGCAGTTGGGCCTCCAGCAACACATAAAATGAACCCTCCAACACTTGTCATGTCCTCTCGTTCCGATGCATAAGAAGCATCCGAGAATGCGGTGAGGAACAAACGCCCGGGTTCAACACCATCCGCGCCCTTTTGGTGCCTTTGCGCTGCCGCCGAGTATTGCAGCCCAACGGTCGGTGTTTGGCCAAGATACTTGGCCACCCTCATTCCAGCTGCTACCTGCTCCTCATTAGGGCATTGAACAACCCTAGCCAACTGTCCGGTTGCAAAGGCGACGTCCGGTCGGGTGTTTACCGCCGCGTACATGAGGTTGCCCACCAACGAGTGAAAACGGCGCCTCAGCTCTTCACCAACGCTCTCCTCCTCTGGTCCCTTCACACACTTGAACCCAGAGGGAAAGGGTGTAGCCACATGGCCTTTACTTTGCCCAAAGTTGGCAGCCAATGCCTCTAGGTACTTCCGTTGATGCACCCGCAAGTAGGGTTCTCAGCGTTGTCGGCTTCACCACAGGAGCAAACAACTCCTTATAGTCCACCTTCTCCTTCTGCTGGAACCCCTTGGCCACAAGCCTAGACTTGTAGCGCTCGATATTGCCGTCGGCATCGGACTTTTGAGGCGCCTCAAAAGGGTGAGTCAAGCAAAGGCCAACATTTGAGGCGCCTCAAAAGGGTGAGTCAAGCAAAGGCCAACATTTGAGGCGCCTCAAAAGGGTGAGTCAAGCAAAGGCCAACATTTGAGGCGCCTCAAAAGGGTGAGTCAAGCAAAGGCCAACATTTGAGGCGCCTCAAGCAAAGGCCAACATTTGAGGCGCCTCAAAAGGGTGAGTCAAGCAAAGGCCAGCATTTGAGGCGCCTCAAAAGGGTGAGTCAAGCAAAGGCCAACATTTGAGGCGCCTCAAAAGGGTGAGTCAAGCAAAGGCCAACATTTGAGGCGCCTCAAAAGGGTGAGTCAAGCAAAGGCCAACATTTGAGGCGCCTCAAAAGGGTGAGTCAAGCAAAGGCCAACATTTGAGGCGCCTCAAAAGGGTGAGTCAAGCAAAGGCCAACATTTGAGGCACCTCAAAAGGGTGAGTCAAGCAAAGGCCAACATTTGAGGCGCCTCAAAAGGGTGAGTCAAGCAAAGGCCAACATTTGAGGCGCCTCAAAAGGGTGAGTCAAGCAAAGGCCAACATTTGAGGCGCCTCAAAAGGGTGAGTCAAGCAAAGGCCAACATTTGAGGCGCCTCAAAAGGGTGAGTCAAGCAAAGGCCAACATTTGAGGCGCCTCAAAAGGGTGAGTCAAGCAAAGGCCAACATTTGAGGCGCCTCAAAAGGGTGAGTCAAGCAAAGGCCAACATTTGAGGCGCCTCAAAAGGGTGAGTCAAGCAAAGGCCAACATTTGAGGCGCCTCAAAAGGGTGAGTCAAGCAAAGGCCAACATTTGAGGCGCCTCAAAAGGGTGAGTCAAGCAAAGGCCAACATTTGAGGCGCCTCAAAAGGGTGAGTCAAGCAAAGGCCAACATTTGAGGCGCCTCAAAAGGGTGAGTCAAGCAAAGGCCAACATTTGAGGCGCCTCAAAAGGGTGAGTCAAGCAAAGGCCAACATTTGAGGCGCCTCAAAAGGGTGAGTCAAGCAAAGGCCAACATTTGAGGCGCCTCAAAAGGGTGAGTCAAGCAAAGGCCAGCATTTGAGGCGCCTCAAAAGGGTGAGTCAAGCAAAGGCCAACATTTGAGGCGCCTCAAAAGGGTGAGTCAAGCAAAGGCCAACATTTGAGGCGCCTCAAAAGGGTGAGTCAAGCAAAGGCCAACATTTGAGGCGCCTCAAAAGGGTGAGTCAAGCAAAGGCCAACATTTGAGGCGCCTCAAAAGGGTGAGTCAAGCAAAGGCCAACATTTGAGGCGCCTCAAAAGGGTGAGTCAAGCAAAGGCCAACATTTGAGGCGCCTCAAAAGGGTGAGTCAAGCAAAGGCCAGCATTTG